TGCTTATCCGTCACTAGTGTACAGAAATTTATCAGAATAAAATATAAAATTATATGAGAAAATTCTTATAAAAGTATATGAGAAAATTCTTATATGACACTGGCGGCAGCGGCGAGGAATACTGTTTATGTTCCTTGTTAGTGTGATAGAAATTAGAGTAATACTACAAATTTCACTGGTGGCAAAAGTAAAATCAGTAAATTAGGTTTTAACAGTAAGTGATTTTAGCCATGGTATATATGGTTCTCAGAAGTGATGGCAATAGTGATGAGACGACTGTGGATGTATATGTATGTACAGCAACGCATAGGCAAGGGTGCCAACATAAGCATAGCAGTTAAGGAAGACGCCCCTGGGGAGTAACCAGTACAGGCTGTCGGAGGGCATGTCCCGCGCAGGACCAGCTATCTCCTGAGCCGGGACAGCGTCTAGGAGTAACGAATAAGCCTAACAAGAATGGCTGGGCTAAACGGAAAAAACTACCACTGGCGCAGTCTTCGGATCGGCATCCTAAAGCTGGCAAAGGAAGAAAGGTAGTTACCCTTCCACACATCTGCATAGCCCCAACGTTATCGCGTATGAGCGAATGCCAAACGTGACAAAGTGATGCAGTTCAGAAAAGGTTGTGGTGAAGTGGAAAATAGTATATTGAAATGTGATACTAGAAAAAGTGATTGAGTGATTGATGTAGCCGCAAGTCTCCATTAGAAAATTGTTTTGCTAAAAGTGTATTATTAGTGGTAAGCAAGTTTAGAATGAGTAAATATGGATTGAATAGGGCTACTCATGGGACCACTGGCGTAAGCCCTTGGTGGGAAATGTTTGGGAGAGCACCACCCCGGTTAGCAGGTTGTCGAAGCTTACCACAGACTGAACCAGACAGTGATAATGTGACAAAGGCGTAGGTGATAGTGAAGGAAATTACAGAAGGTAGACTGAAAAACTACCTAGCTCAGAAGAATTTAGGACGCCATAGCGTAAAGCTGCGCGTAGGTGTATTTGTCTTTTAAAAGGGGAATGTTTGAGGTATCACTGGAAAACTACAGATGAAATGGAGAGGACAATTTGAAGTGGCAGAAGTGATAAGTGATAGGGGTGCGTACCGGCTTAAAGATCCACCTAATGGAAAGGTTGTTAGTAGACCCACAAGTTGTTCTCTGAAATGAGCGTGTCAGGACAGAAAGTGCATGATTATGATTATGTTCATGTATTGATATGTTTATTGATTTAGTATTTAATTGAAATTGAATTTGTTCCATAGAGGTGTCGTTTCTTCAGTCAGTTGTGAGTCTTATATATTACTTTTTAATGAGCACACTAAATTTCACCAAATTAATATTTTGCGAAGGGGGAGACCTATATCGAGATCATTATTTATTAGACATTTAAAAAGGTGCACTGATTCTGATTTCGAAGATGCACATCCGATACTGAAATATTTTACATATTTTCATAAATCTAAAGGCATATCAATATATTTGTGTGTGTGTATGTGTTGCAAATCCTCCTTGCAACAGCGTGGCACAGGTGAGAGAAAGATGGCAATTCACTATTTTCACTCATCCACGTAGCCGATGCAGTACGACAGTAGGAAGGTGGCATGAAGCAGGCTAGGGTGTGACACTCCTCACGTAAGCTGAAAAATGCAGTCTCTTCAGCACAACATCCGTGTATGTGTACCCATCCGTCTCCCCTCGATTCTCCCTCCTTCGCGCCTCTTTTTCCCTCAAAAAAAAAAAAAAAAAAAAAAAAAAAAAAACGCACATCGCGATGCGCAAACAGCGTTCACAGCACTGCCCCTTCCTCCAAGTGGACGCCCTCGTTCACTATCAAACTTTAAAACAATTGCTGCAAGCAGTCTTACATAAGAACTAAATATACAAGGCGTTTCTGTCACTGGACATCAAAAAATATACTTTAAAAATAAACCTTCAGAATTACAAAACCTACATCTTACACTAATCACATTTTTACAACAAAATCACTAAGATGCCTCGGTAATCTCAGTTTTCTATGAGGTCTCGAAGTCGGCTGCTGCATCTCGTCCTTCCAGTGTTCCTCAGACCCTCCCATGGCGTCGTCCTCCACCTCTGTTCCTGGTTGTCTATTCTCCTCGGTGTGTGTATCCAGTAGACCAGGATCATATGCCTCCTCAGGAACAGCAGCAACAATCTCGCATGGGTCGTCAACTTCCTGCTGGTGCCCCAGGTGTAGTGGCCATCTCGACGATACCCCCATAACCTGTCTCCGTGCACAACTCGTGCTCTTGCTCTTGGTCGTCGGCGAATTCGGAAGGTTACCTTGGTCACACACTCAATGATGGTGTAGGGCTCCTCCCAAGGGCTCTGTAGCTTGTGTGACATACCCTTCTTCATATTGGGGTTGTACAGCCACACTAAATCTCCCACCTTGAACTTGACTGCACGGGCGTCCCTGTTATAATAGCGTCGCATGCTCTCTCCTGCAAACTTCAGGTGTCCTCTCACTTGGTGGTGTACTTCATCAAGTTGTTGTTGTAATTCGACGGCATAGTCACTAGTTGCTACAGGCAATTCCTCATTTGGTCCAGCGGTAAATGTAGCTCCCTAACATCACCCTTGCAGGGGTGAAGGTGGTGGCTTCATGCTCTGCGGAACGGTATGGCATCAACAAGAGTGGAAGTTTGCTGTCCCATTCTGTCCGTCCTTCGTTACAGTACTTAGCCAGCTCCTGCACTATTGTTCTATTAAACCGTTCGACAATCCATCAGATTGCGGTCTCAGAAGCGACTTCCTGGTCATCCTGATTCCCACAACTGGCAGCACTCTCGAAATACAGCCGCCTCAAATTCCCGTCCTTGCTCAGAGTGCAAACCGCCAGGAACTCCAAAACGGCTGAAAAAATGATTCACAAGGACTCCGCAACTGTAAATGCTTCATGATTGGCGATGGGGTAGGCTTCTGGCCATTTGGGAAGTAATCCATGGCAACCAAGATGAACCGGTTCCCAGCTGCTGTCGCTGGAAATGGTCCAGACACATCTACCGCAACCCGCTACAGCGATGTGCCCATTTGATACAATTGTAGGGGTGCTTTTCCCTTTTGCTGGCCCCTTCTTTGCATTACATGTGGCACACGTCTTGCACCATTCTCGCACGTCCTTCCGCATTCCAAACCAGTAATATCACTGGCGCAGTCGACTCAGTGTCTTGCTGTTTCCCATGTGTCCACTTGCCACACCATCGTACGCCTCTTGTATCAGTCTGGCCCACAGCTCCATTGGCAACACCACCTGCCAGAACTTGATACATCCATCAGCCTTAACCCATTTTCTGTGCAGAACACCGTCCTTCATCTTTAGAGCATCCCATTCATGCCAGTAATTCTTGGTAGCAAGGCTCAGTGGAGCCACTGCCATCCATTTCGGACGATCCTGACTGTCTTCCATTCACTGCACTCCTGGGGCCGGATTCACTAACATACGATCGTAACGCATTTACCAGGTGTTATTTACCATTCCATTTACTAGTGATGGCAAAGCGGGATTCATGAAGAAAGGGTAATTTGGATATGCTGTTACAATCGTAAATCGACTCATTCTAATGGTAGCCAACAGAGGGTTCTAGTAAAGCAATTCCACCAATCAGCGAGCACCATACATAATTTTTTAGGCTCCTTCGGCCAATCATGTAACATGTAAACAGAACTAGGCTCAGCAAGCTTTTAAAAATGATCGTTACAGCTAAAACACTATTTAAGCTCATGTACAAAAATTAATACATTTATTTGATTATATCCATCATGTGGAAGATATATTTACTGTATAGATAGGAACCAATACAAATAGTTATATTAATATGTTACTCTTTACCTCAAACCAAAGAGACAGTCCAAACAATTATTTATTTATTTATTCTTCATCATTGTTAAACAAAGGACCATACCAAACAAATTTTTTATTCATCGGCATCTGTCACCAAAGGAAATATTTCAAGATTAATCTTGCCCATGCACTTTGGAGTTTATTGTCAAAATGGCAACAGACACAGAGATTGCTATACTTTTTTAGCGTTGTTATTGGCAGATTATATATCAGCAAGGTAGTTTTTTCTATAGTATTTTTATAATAATTATGTCAATTCCATGCATTCTAGTATAGTATAGGCCTATAATTTTACGAGAATTTGTGTGGATTTTATTCTTGCTAGTTTCATGTGAAATTTGCACTTCTTCACTATGTCCGCATTGTGATATATGTTTGCCATCATATTAGTTACAACAGGTGTAAAAACAAACCCAAAACTATGCTTAGATATTGATTTTTTGACGAGAAACATGTGATGACATCGTCTTCCAAGAAGTTACCAGCGCTCTGACCACTGGTAAAATTTACCATGGTAACTCCGATGGCAAGTTGTTAGTGAATACCACCGCTGTCCGGTTACCATAGTAATTATATCGTGTGCGTTAGTGAATCCGGGCCCTGGTCCGATGTCCCGGTCCCTTCGCTGTGCCTCCTTCAGCTCCCTGTTGTTGACATTTATGACTTTTGACCTCTTGCAGTACTCAGAGGGTTCCTCCTTGCTACAGTGACGGCAGTCTGGTTCACAAGGCCGCCTACTGAGTGCATCGGCGTTGACGTGGGCCTTCCCTGGTCGGGGAATAACCTCATAATTATGTTGGTCTAACTTCCCAATCCACTGTGCCAGTTGCCCTTCTGCGTTTCTTAAAGTTTTCAGCCAACGAAGGGTCGCTACGGATGGTAAACTTAGCAGCATATAAGTAATGATGGAAGTGGTCCAGGCTCTTTACTATTGCAAGCAACTCTTTCCTGGTAACACAATAGTTCTGCTCAGCCTTGTTGAACTTGCAACTATAATAAGCCACAACACGTTCATGTCCGCCTTTCTCTTGAGATAATACTGCTCCTACTCCATCCATACTCGTGTCACAGTCCAAGATGTAAGGGTAACGTGGATCCGGGTACATCAGCACTGGTGTTTGTGATAGTGCTTCCTTCAGCTAGTTGAAGGCCGCTTGACATTCCTGGCTCCACTGGAAATGCACATGCTTGCCAGTGAGGTGGTGCAGAGGAATGGCAATGCTGGCAAAATTCCTTACTAACATTCGATAGTATGTACAGAGCCCAAGGTAGTTTCGCACTTCTTTATCCTTGGGTTCTGGCCATTCTTGCACAGCCCTCACCTTTTCCGGGTTAGTTTTCACTCCATCCCTGCTCACTATATGCACACAATTTTTAGGGTTCAACTTTAGATTGGCCTGCTTAAAGTGCTGGAATACACCTCTAGTCTTTTTAACTCAAAAGTGTCTCCATACACAATAACATCATCTAAATAGATAAATGCTGATTTCCACTGTAGCCCATCTAGAATGCATTCCATAAGATGTTCAAATGTGGCAGGTGCATTGGGCACACCAAAATGCATAACTTTAAACTGCCATAGTCCTTCATCAAATGAAAACGCTGTTTTACACTCAGCCAGCCTTACCTGGTAGTCCCACTTTTCAAATCAAGAGTACTGAACCACTATGTCCCCATCAATGCCTGTCTGTCTCTCTGTCTCTCTCTCTCTCTCTCTTCCTCTTTGTCTGTCTGTCTCTCTCTCTGTTTCTCTCTTTTTCTCTCTCTCTCTCTCCTCTCTCTCTCTCTCTCTCTCTCTCTCTCTCTTCTCTCTCTCTCTCTCTCTCTCCCTCCTCTCTCTTCTCTCTCTCTCTCTCTGTCCTCTCTCTCTCTCTCTCTCTCTCTCTCTCTCCTCTCTCTCTCTCTTCTCTCCCTCTCTCTCTCTCTGAGGAACGAGGGGTATCTAGCCACGACCAGACCTGACCAGACCTCCCTTCGGGGCTCGCCCCCACACGCGTGTTACCACTCGACGCGCCTTTGGGCTCCCTTTCCCACAACTGCACCAGCACGAGGCACAGCCCACGCCACGCTACCTACCAGCCACTTCAACTAATAAAGAAGCAAACCAGAACTGAGTCTCCATACACCCACCAAAGTCAGGCAAAAACTAAACCCTGACACTCTTTCTCTGTCTGTCTGTCTCTCTCTCTTTCTCTGTCGGCTGTCTCTCTCTCTCCTCTCTCTCTCTCTTCCTCTTTCTCTGTCTGTCTGTCTGTCTATCTCTCTCTCTCTTCTCTCTCCCTCCCTCTCCCTCTCTCTCTCTCTTTCTCTCTCTCTCTCTCTCTCTCTTCTCTCGTCTCTCTCTCTCTCTCTCTCTCTCTCTCTCTCTCTCTCTCTCTCTCTCTCTCTCTCTTGTGTGTGTGTCTCTGTCTGTCTGTCTCTCTCTCTCTCTCTGTCTCTGACTCTCTTTCTCTGTCTCTCTCTTTCTCTCCCTCTCTCTTCCTCTCTGTCTGTCTCTCTGGTTCTCTGTCTGTTGTCTCTCTCCCTCTCACTCAATTCGTCTGTCTCTCTGGTTCTCTCTCTCTCTCTATCTCTCTGTCTGTCTGTCTGTTCTCTTTCTCTCTTCCTCTTTTTCTGTCTCTCTCTCTCTCTCTCTCACTCTCTCTCTCTGTTTCTCTCTCTTCCTAGGTCTGTCCCTCTCTCTCTCTCTCTTTACTCTTTCTCTGTCTGTCGTCTCTCTCTCTCTGTCTCTCTTTCATTCTCTGTCGGTCTGTCTGTCTGTCTGTATCTCTGTCTCTGACTCTCTTTCTCTCTTTCTCTGTCTCTGTCTCTCTCTCTCCGTCTCTGTCTTTCTCTCTCTGCGTCTCTGTCCGTCTGTCTGTCTCTCTCTCTGTCTCTGACTCTCTCTCTTTCTTTCTCTGTATGTCTCTCTCTCTGTCTGTCTGTCTCTCTGTCTGTCTGTTTGTCTCTGTCTCTCTCTGTTTGTCTGTCTCTGTCTCTCTCTGTTTGTCTGTCTCTCTCTCTGTCTCTCTCTTTGTCTGTCTGTCTCTTTCTCTATCTCTGTCTGTCTGTCTCTCTCTCTGTCTGTCTGTCTCTCTCTTTCTCTATCTCTGTCTGTCTCTCTCTCGCTCTCTCCCTGTGTCTCTTTCTCTCTTTCATTTATAAGTGGTTCCCACCCTTTACGAAGGAGGTTACGTTGATTAGTTAATTAGTTAGTTTGGTCGTTGTTAGCAGGATAACCAATATTTCTTCTACAGGTGTGTCTTAGCCTAACTTAAATTTTATGAAATTTTGGTGATGATCGGTTCCAGGAATTTTTGAACGGTTACATCAGTTACCCTATTATTATGATCATTACCTTACTTACCTCCACAAAGGAGGTTATGTTTACAGGCGTTACCAGTGTATTTCAGAAAGGTGATTTTAGTTGAATTTTTTAAGTGTAAATATTTTTATTGTATCAGTGACCCCATTGCCTTGACGGAGGTATGCGCTCTATGAGTGCTTCTTGTCTAGAAATATTTTTCATTTCTTTGTGGTTAAGGTTTACACATGATGAATACAAAAAAATGTAGTTACGTATTATTATAATGCAGTATAAAATATATAACATTATTTGTAACAAGTTGTACTAAACAGAATTACAGACGTAGCGGAAAGTGCGGTAATAAAATATGATATTAGTTGAAGAAAATCCTGAATGTGTCTTTTATTACCTCAAAAGTGGAGTTTCATATACAACTAGAAAATCAAGAACTTAAAGTAATGACGACAATAAAAGAAATATTACAAGAAATCCACATGAAAATAATAAACTGACAAATCAGGGTGGCTTTGTAAAGTTTGAAATAAAAGGAAAAATGGCGGGAAACGGCTGGGAAGAGGGAGGGGGCAGGGAAGAGGGAGGGGTTAGATGTCAAAATGGCGAAGAACGATTTTTGTTGTTTTTAAGCAGCTGTGAACAAGGACTGTTCCTTGGCGATCTTGGGCTTAGGCTCGGGGATGATGACTTGGATGCCTGAGGGTTTCCTTGCGCTGTTCCACGATCTGTGCCAAGAAAATAGAAAGCGTGAAAAAAACGGATAATACCCGTGCGAATGGCGGTTCTGTACACGAAGTACATGCAAATTAATATATTAAATTTTAGGCTAACCTTATCTTTAAGGCAACAAAAATTGATTTTGATCATGGGATTCGAATCAAAGTTGAATCTTTTCGGGAAATCTGTATAAAAAGTAATCTGTAATACAATAACCAGCACTTTAAATTGGATGTTTTTTTTGGCAATACTAATTAAGACAGCCGCGCTACATATACCGAGGAAAGTATAATAGAATTATTGACTAGTGTTCGTACATGTCGGCGAAGTTAATAAATTGTGGTGACCTCACTGGTTGTGTTTTACTTGAAATTCAAAGGTCTCTCGAAGAGAGAGAGAGAGAGAGAGAGAGAGAGGAGAGAGAGAGAGAGAGGAGGAGAGAGAGAGAGAGAGAGAGGAGAGAGAGAGAGAGAGAGAGAGAAACAGTACATAAACCTCGTTTTCTTGAACCGTCTCGAATGTAGACAATACTGTGAGCTTCTGAAAAGTACGACGAAATACGCCAAAAAAGAGGGTCCGGAGTTTGGTTAGTTAGATTAACAAATTTCGTTGGAATTTCGGCAACACGACACCGGCGCGGTGCATCTTGCAGCGGCACCAGACTCTCGTTGGGATTTTGCTTTTTTTTTCTTCCAAATTTTCACTTTTGAATCCACTATTTCTCCCGTGTATGTGTCCCCTCCCCTCTTTCATTCCCTGATTCTCTACGGGTCCCCAAGATTGAAGAGGAAAGAAGAAAAAAACATAACAAATAGGTGCGGCTGTCTTACTTAGAATTACCGTTTTTTTTTAAATAAGAGATTAACATTTTCATCCATAGGAACTAAACTCTCTCTCCTCTCCTCTCTCTCCTTCTCCCTCCCTCCTTTAACGCAATACAAAGCCTCACCTCGTATCCCTG